CCTCCTCCCGTGACGAAGTGGGGAGGGACTTCGGTTCGCAAGCTCTGGTCTCTGGCGGCCCCCGCGCCCCCGAGGAGGAGATGCCGCTGTGCGCCTTCGTGGGCTGGAAGCGTGCCAAGGCGCGCGGGGCGCGAACATCCCGCCTCCCACGGGCATCGTCAGCCTCGAGGGGGTTCGACTCAGGAGGGGATTGAGCTCAGCGGGGGGGTGGGGGGAGATATGGGCTCAGGGGAAGGAGGAGGACTAGGAGGAGGAGGAGGAGGAGGAGGAGGAGGTGGAGGAGGATGAGGATGGATGATGTTATGAGGAGGAGGAGGAGGAGGGGAGGCGGAGGGGAGGAGGAGGAGGAGGGGCAGGAGGAGGAGGAGGGGAGGAGGAGGAGGAGGAGCAGGAGGAGGAGGAGGAGGAGGAGGAGGATGATGATGATGAGGAGGAGGAGGATGAGGAGGAGGAAGAGGTGGAGAAGGAGGAGGACGGAGGGAGGGAGGGAGGGATGGAGGGAGGGAGGGTAGGAGAGAGGGATGGGATGGGGATGACGAGGAGGGGGAGGAAGAGGAAGTGCAGAAGGAGGAGAACGGGGAGGAGGTCAGGGGGAACGTCAGGGGGGATGAGCTCAGGGTGGGCGGGTGCATCGGCCCCCAGTCGCCCACTGATCGCCAGGAGGGGTCTGATAGCCTCGCCCCGCCGAACGTGGGGATTCGCTATCGGGGGCCTATCGGCGATCTATCCGCAGTGTATCGCCGATTCCAGGTCGAGGTTCCCCCCCTGAGCCAGTTCCCCCCTATCGTTGCCCCTCGCTCGGCCTCGAATGGGTTCGAGGATCGAGGCGGGGACGGGTCCTCGACCGGTGCTCTTGGGTCCCCAGAGGTTTTGCAAACTAGGGGTGCGCTCCAGCAGCTGCGCCTCGCCGAGGGCGTTCAGGGGGTGCCCAGATCGCCCTGGACGGCCGCGGGATACTCGAGTTGTGACCCGACAGCCACATCAAATAACCAACATTGCAGACATAACAAAACAATCAATTATAAACAGATGACCCGACAGCCAAACCTCCTCGCGCCGTGGGCAGAGTCACGACGGGCGGTTGTTGGCCGATTCCGGCCTCCGAGGGGGTCCTCCCTGGGCCCCGGGGCCGTCAGAGAGCGCCCCAGGATGGAGAGCCCGTCCCTGGGAAGGGGTCCAGAGGCTCTTGGGGAGCCGCGTTGCGGCAAGAGACACGACATCGGAGATGTCAGGGTTCACTCCTCGCCGCAGCCAGGTCTCCCAGGACTGCCTACCTAGCCGGCCTGGCTCGACCGTGCCCGCGGACGTCAGCTCAGCGTTCCCGCAGACGCGCGCGATGTAATGCTGAGCGCCTTGGTCTTGGGTGAATTCACAGCCCTTCAGCCCTTCGACTCGCCGAGCCACCCGCGACGCTTAGTGTAGGACCCATCATGCAGCAGCGCCTTGGGCTATGTGGCTGCTACGCTGGGTTCTGGGCCTAGTCGTCGTCGTTGCCGTCGTCGTCGTCGTCGTCGTCGTCGTCGTCGTCTTCGTCGTTGTCATCGTCCTCACTGAGATTCGTTGGTCGTCTTACGCAAAGCCCCTCCCAGCGGCAGATAACTTTTGTTTACATCGTCCCACCGTGTCTCTCTATGGGCCGTTATCCTACACTGGCAAGCGGGCGGCAGGGGGGAGGGGCTCTCGCAGCAGAGGGGGAAGGGTTGGGAGCGTGAGGAAGGAGGCGCACCCTCGCCAGACCGGTTGCGGCAGAGCCCCAGCGGTAGATTCGCGGCGCGGCGGGGCGGCGGTCGGTGACGGAGTGGACGGCGCGTGCGTGCGGGTGTGCTGCGGAGCTCTCGCCGGCTTCAGCGCGTGCTGCGGTTTGGCGGAGGGGGGGGGCGAGATATTGTCGCGGTGTGTCTTCGAAGAGAGAGAGAGAGAGAGAGAGCGAGAGAGAGAGAGAGAGAGAGAAATAGAGAAAAAGAAAGAGAGGAGGGAGAGAGAGAGAGAGAGAACATATATATATATATATAGAGAGAGAGAGAGAGAGAGAGAGAGAGAGAGAGAACGAGAGAGAGAGAGAGAGAGAAAACGACATAGAGAGAGAGAGAGAGAGAGGACAAAAAACGAGGCCCGTGTTCGCTCGGCCCGCGGCAGAGGCTGGTGGTGTCTCGGCATCAGGAGGTCGGCGGTTGTGCGCGCGCGCAGATGGGGAGGGGGCGTGCCGGGGACGCGCCCCCCCTGTCCCCACCTCTGCCTCCGAGGCGGGAATCTATGCATGACCACCGTTGGGAGGATCGATTTCTGGGTACCTCGGCAGGCGGTGGATATGGACATGCTCGGGCCCCTGGGGACCATCATATGTCCATCTCCGCCACCCGCTGGGGCACCACGACGTCTGTCTCCCTGGCGGTGGATGTGGATGAATCCCCGCCTCGCACTTCCCTCCTCCTTTTGGGGCTTCCTGGGCCCGCAGGATCTGGCGGGGTAGTGGTGGCAGTGGGGGGCGGTAAGGGGACCTCGCCGCTTTGGGTTGCCGTGCCGCCTGGAGGGTGTCTCCGAAGGGCTTAATTAGGCGACCCGTCCTCCTCCTCCCCCCCCTCCTCCTCCTCCTCCTTCTCCTCCTCCGTCCTCCTCCTCCTCCTCCTCCTCCGTCCTCCTCCTCCACCTCCTCCTCCTCCTCCATTTACAATTACACAATATGAAAATACTCTCCCACTTCTCCTGATGGCGTCCCGAAGATATCCGACCCCCCCCGCGTACTGTTTTTTTACACAGGATTCCCGGGAAACGGGTTTTCGCTTGCGTTTTTTTTTTTTTTTTTTTTTTTTTTTTTTTTTTTTTTTTTTTTTTTTTTTTTCAAATGCTGCTCTCGCTGAGGCGCCGGCCTCATTTCTGCTCCCGAATCGTTCCGAATCGTGCTCCCGCTGCAGCGTGGGCCTCATTTTCGGATCGGTGTTTGGCCTCCGTCGTTCAGGATGGCGTTCTCGCCCCAGCGCGGGCCTCTTTCTCGCGCGCCCATCCGCCCGCCACCACGCGCCGCACCACCACCACCAGCACCACCACACCACCGCACCACCCACCACCCACCACCAGCACCAGCACCACCACCACCACCCACCACCACCACCACCACCACCACCACCACCACCACCACCACCACCACCACACCACCACCACACCACCACCACCACCACCACCACCACCACCACATCCACCACCACCACCACCACCATCACCACCACCACCACCACACCCACCACCACCACACCACACACCACCACCACCACCACCACCACAACCACGCACACATGCACGCACGCACGCACGCGCACCACCACCCACTACGCACGCGCGCGCGGAGCCACAGGTCCGCTACGACACGCGTCCGCGGATAGAGAAAATCAGCGCCATGGTAAGGGATGGGAGGGAGGGGTAGGACGTCAGATATGACGCGAGCGCACCTAGCTTGTCCTCCTCCCCCTCCCCCTCCCCCCTCCTCCACCTCCTCCTCCCCCTCCTTCTCCTCGGGTCGCCTACGGCCCTGGGGGGAAAGCCGTGCAGGGGGCGGTAAGGGCACCTCGCCGCTTTGGGTGGCCGTGCCGCCCGCTCGGCGTGGTCGCGTTCGGCGCGCACGTCCCCGTACAGTGGCCCACGCCAGGAAACACCCTGCTTGTCTCCAGGGTGCCCTGGGCTTCTCGGGTTTCCATGCTTCCCGCGGTGGACGTCGCGACGCTCCCCCACGCCAGAAAGCAGTGGACGCCCTGGGGTCTCAGTTGGGCTCCTCGTGGAGTATGTCTTGTGGTCGGGCCCCCGCTGCAGGCGACCTCGCCGCCTTGGGTGGCATGGCCGCCCGCTCCGCGTGGTCGCGTGCGGCGCGCACTCTCCCCGCGTTCTTCTGCCTTCCGAGGCGGGCTCGGGAACGGGGCGCGCTCTCGGTGGCCCCGCCCCCACCCCCCCCCCACCGCACCCTTCCCCCCCCCCCCCTCCCACTCCCCCCCCCTCCATCCTCCTCCCCCCCTCCTCCCCCCCCCCCCCTCCCTCCCCCTCCCCCCCTCCCCCCCTTCCCCACCCTCCCCCTCCCCCTCCCCCTCCCTCCCCTCGCCTTTTCGAGGGGTGATATCATGGCGGCGCCGTGGTACCTCCCTGCTGGGATGACTGTGGGGTTTCTAGGGGGCCGGGGGGTGGTGTGACGGGCGACTCCGAGCACGGGCGGCGCTCCTCCTCCTCCTCCTCCTCCCTCTCTCCTCCCCTCCTCTCCTTCCCTCCTTCCTCCTCCCTCCTCCCTCCTCCCTCCTCCCTCCTCCTCCTCCTCCTCCTCCTCCTCCTCCTCCTCCTCCTCCTCCAAGGTGGGTTTTATCTGGCCCAACCTGGCCTATAAGTGGGCTAGTACAGATGCCCCAAGTAGCTTGGTAGGGTTATCGATCTGGGCTAAGTGGGCTCCGCCCAGGTTGCGTGGGCTGGGCACTTCGACTGGCTGGTGTTCTATTGTTCAGCTCCTGGGTGTTGTCGGGGTTCTGGCATTACGTTTCCAGCGTGAGTCCTATGTGTTGTCGGACTGGGTGTTCCTAGGTAGGGTCCGAGCATTTCCTTGGTCGGGGGAGGGAGTGAGCGGGGGGTGGGCGGGGAGGGGGAGTGGGAGGATGTAGGAGGATGATGGCGGGGTGGATGAGGAGGACGAGGAGGGCCCCGGAGATTCCCGAGGTCCGTAGCCATTTTGGCTCAAGTCCGTAGCAGTTGGCTCTGGGACGAGAGTTTTGGCAAGGGGATCCGCGGCCCCACCACTTTCCGTGTACTGTGTGCGGTTCGCCCCGCACTGGTTCACTCACAATTACTCTTTCACTAGCTGCTGCTGCTCGCTCGCGTTTGTTTCTCAAGCAGCGATGGGAGACTTCTCGTGCTGGCAGTGCAGCAACAAGCGGTGTGCGTACAGATACAACTATGTCTGGCGCGACAACTGCAGGATGTGTGGCAAAGCGGCTGGCCCGAAACCCTCTGTCTCGCTCGCCGGCTCTCGGGACCGTGGGGCCTGGGCCAATGGGCCACCGACCAAGAGCAAACAGGTCAGCTTCCTTCCTGAGAGTCAGCTCGGCATCTACGCCAAGATGTCCGACGAGGACTTCAAGGAGGTCAGCAGCGA